TTTTTTGGGCTCCAATGTACTTAAGACTGGCAATGTTAATGGCTTTCACTTATTCAAAATAACATTCTTCAATCATCCTCAAAGTAAATTTGCTAGAGTAATAAAACTTGGTTTTTAAAAAGACGGAACTCCTAAATGCGCCTTATTTTAGAGGTTTCACCATCGAATTTGGAGCTGCCATGACAGCCTTGATATGCAGTAAACTGGGGCTGCCAATCAGTACGACACACTGCTTGGTGAGTTATAAGAAAGTTTAAAGTCTTCTAAATTACCATTGGATGAATCTAATTTTAGGTAGGATCAGTGGTAGCCGTAGGTGTCGTGAAATCGCGGAAAAACATCGATTGGTCCATATTCAGAAATATCGTCATATCTTGGGTTGTTACCCTACCAGTTGCTGGTGAGCAATTTTTCTCTTAACTTTCTTTAACAAATCACAATTCGTTAGACAAAAATAGCAATGTTTGATAATTTCAGGACTAGTATCCGCTGGTATAATGCTTCTGCTCAAGTTTGCTCTCTAGTCTCATCTCAGGTGCTCCGCTGACTCTCGTCATAATAATCACATAAACGACTCACTTCATCATTATCTCATGAATCACTTACCTTAATAATTTTGTATAAGAATTGTTGAATTGTTGTACATATGCTAATAAATATATTCGCTGGTTTTGTTCTTGTTTTGCGTAATACATTATATGTTTACCTGCGTAAATTAAATGAAAAAAATTTTCTTTTGAGAACATTATTTGCCCAACCAAGTTGACTTTTTATCAACCAAATGAAATCGAAACTTGAGCTTATACTTACTTAAACTCAACTCTTAAACTAAAAGGAGATCCAAAGTTGCGAAATATGGCAAGACCAAGGGCAACAAGTAGAAAATTGCGAATGTCAATGAATTTGGTCTTGCTAGAGATCTTTGGGACTTCTGGATGTAAAATTTTAACTTTTGACTTACAGTAATACAAAAAAATCTCAGGTACATTGATTCCTCCTTAACGATAATACCACTGAAAGATCTGTGAATTGGAGAACGATGTCAAATGGGAGACTAATTTCGGAAAAGTCTTTTTTTTTGCTATCGTGATTTGCTTACTCACCTAAGCAACAAGAGGGAATAAAACAAGCGATGACATTTAACTCCTTTTCCGCGATTGATATACGTAATGATCTTGCCAGTATGCTATTCCATACTATAGCAGTTTCAAATCAATATGACGGACGCAAAGAAATTGGAAATCATGTTATTAGCGCATAAAGCAGGCCAAAATGATAAATGCACTGCTGCTTTGAATCCACGGCTCATTCAACCTTCTATTATTGCAAGAATACACTAAACTCTAATACGCACACTACATTTATAAATTTGAGCTGGAGAGTGCTAATTTTTGCTTCAATAATCTCTCCTTTGGATAAAGTTTTGTTTAGTGTGTAAATCATGTAGTTCTCATCGTAATGCTCCATCTCTAGAAATAAAAGTTCCCTTTCCAATCTGTCTTTTGTTCAAGTACATTTATAAAGTGCGCTGAGCATTTTGATTAGCTTCTTGCAATAGTCATGAATTTTTTCGTTTGCATATGTTTTTTTGAAACACCATATTATAGCTGTACCCTATA